GGGAACGCCCCTTCGCGGCTCTCTCTTTTATCTTTTCGATCCTTGCGACACGCTTCCTCCACCAACTGGCCTCGATCTGGCCCCCTCCCCCTTCGTCCGCGAGAAAACGATATCTACTGTAGCGAGAAAGATGTTAGAATTTTCCTTTGGGATCGAGGTTTGGTATTAATTGGTCGGAATTACGAATGGAAATTTGTGGTAAATTCGTCTGTGTGATTTTAGATGATTCGATAAATGAAGATTTGGTATTATTGATAGATCTTTTCGATAAAGATTTATTTTAACGAAATGATTTGGAAATTGGGGTAATAGGAGGTTTATAGAAGAAGTTTGAGCCGATTAGATGAATAGAATAGGGTCGATGAATTAAAAGGTGCAAAGATTTATGGGATTATTCTCTACTACATACTATTTTAAAAGTTTAATATTTCACACATGAAAATTTTGAAAAAAATATAATATCTCGATCTCCAATCCATCTCCTTTAAATTTTCTTCGTGTTCCAATTTCAACAAGCGACACGTTATTTTATTTAAAAAATTGGACGAATTTTCTCTCCTCGAATTCCACGAAACACCCCTCGATCCATCTATCCATTTAGATGCTACGTATCCATTACATTATTCATCCACTTCCGATTTCGAGAATAAATATTAACATATCATTCGTTCTATCGTCAAATCCGCCTGTTTAACCGTCCTCGTATCGGAAATACAAATAATTTCAAGGAGATGGAAAAACGGACTCGTCTCGCGTCGTTTCCTTGAATTCCACGATGCACCCCTCTATCCAGCCGGGTGCAGCTGGTCGGCGGCAGAACGGCGCGATAAAAGGACAACAAAACGGCACGAGGCGTGGCGATTAACTGAAACAACCGGGCCGACAATGGAGTAATCAGCGAGCTTTTCGACTCACCCATGCCCCCGCCCGCGCACCCCACCGTCGCTCTTACGCGGGCCACCGTTTTTGTTGTCGCTTCAGCAATCGCAGCGATGATGCCCCCCACGAGATCCTCCCGCCACGTCGCCACGCAATTCCCTTCGAGCCAATAATCGGAATCCTCAGAACAAATATATTCTACATTTCTTGAGTGTTATTCGTGAAAATTAAACTTGAGACACGAATTCGAAAAGCTTTGTGCACGTAGCGATAAAGTGAACGATATTTCTTCTTTTATGTATTCTAGATTATCTTAGCCTCCCGATAAACCATTTTGGAAATTCGAATGTATCCATTGCCTCGCATTATCTTCCCTAGAATTGATAACATGTTCCCCAAACAGGCCTTTCTTTTACGATCAATTACTACCGACTATTGTAGAGGAATAAAAAAAGAAGTAATTTCAAAACTCAATCAAACGTTTAATTATTCCATTTCGCTTCTATCCTATCTATCTACGTGATAGATCGAAAAAGATTCGCAAACGACTTGAAAACTCGGAAGGGGATGGAGAAAACCGAAACTAAGAATCGAAAGTCAATAAAGTGTGCAAAGAAACGTGAAATGCTCGCTCGACAACCGATCGAAGGAGGAGGAGGAGTGGTTTCACGATATCTCGGAATTAAGGAGCCGTCGGCGACGGGCCGGCGGGGAGGATGGATTGTTTCATTGATGAGGGGGCATTCAGGGCCGTAGCAGTCTGCGGGGCCGAAGTGGGCACACGGTGGAAGAGGGGGAGGAGGGGGGCGACGTTTACGAGTCCGCTTGCAACCCTCTTTCGGACCACGGTGCGCGATGAATGGTATAATCAGTGGTCGCGTGCCACCCCACAGCGCGGAGGAGCGAGACGATAACGGAAGGTGAGACGGATGGAGAGAGAAAGAGAGAGAGAGAGAGAAATTCCCTCCCCCTTCTGATCGTCCTCGTGCCTTCGCTATCATCGAAATCGAGACAGAAGCGGGCGTGCAAAAAGTCACTTAACATCCCCCTCTCTTGAGACTCCCCTCCCTCTTTCCTGCCTACAGAAATCTCTGGGGATCGAAGGATTCTTGCGGGGCAAGGATTTTTCTAGGTAAGTGACGTTACCTAGTGTATGGGCTATCTAATGAATCGAGTCGTGGATGAAAGAAGAGAATGGAAATGGTTGTCGATATTATTTAGGCGTTTGAGATATATATATATATATATATAGATTATTCGCGGATTACGAATTATATTATTTGTAATCTATCGCTCTGGCAAATGGTTAAAATTGAAAGAAAATATAAAAAATAAACAATTTCACAATTTCAAAAATTTTGTTGAATATATATATATATATATATTATTCACGGATTACGAATTATATTATTTGTAATTTATCGCACTGGTAAATGGTTAAAATTGAAAGAAAATATTAAAAATAAACAATTTCACAATTTTAAAAATTTTGTTGAATATATATATATATATCTGGTGTCATACAATACTGAAATTTCTTAGTTAGTGAAGAGATATTCCGTAAAAAAAAAGAAAAAAAAAAAGCGTGATATTTACCAGCGATAGGGACTAATTGAAAGTGTCAGTGTAGAGATAAGGGTTTCGTGCAACGTCGAGTATGAAAAGGGAGCACGGTTCCCCTTTTCGAGGTTCCTTTCTTCTCGTCGATGACCGATAAAAATCGCGTTCACGCCCCGCGAATGACGGAGGATGTGTAACGAGGGGTGATAAAGGAACGGCGGCGGAATGACAGCCGAGCGTGCCGATTCATTCATTCATCGTGTAGCGAATTTATGATCGAGTTAATAACAGAACAAACAGTTGATTGCCTTCGATAATTCGAACCCCTCGTTCGTGCCCACTCTTTCCCCGCTGCCTCGTCCCCTAAACCGAATTTCCTTCCAACCTCTGAAACCCGTCCTTTTGCGAGATCGTTACAGAAACGATTTTGCAAAAAGGAAAAAAAGAAAAATAAGACTAAAAGAGATGTTTTTTCGTTATTAAGAAAGTCGTGTATTTAGAATATTACCATTCTCCCATCTTTATTTTATTTTCTCCCTGACACAGATACCCACCTCCCCCTTCTTCACCCCCTGACAGATGAATATTTCGGGGAAGAATCTGCCGGAAATTCGATGGCACCGACCTCACCGAGCCGTTTTCTTTACAGAAGTTGGAATTCGCCGAGATGTTGCCACTAACACACAGCCCTCTTGTCTCGTTTTATACCACCTCTCTTTATCGCCTTATCACTGGAGAGACGTCTTCAGCCCCTGGCCCTCCCCCGCGCCGTTTTCTTCCTGCAAGACATTGCAGCCACTGATAACATTTATTTCGAGAAATGGCCCGCTCACGCCCTTACAACAAGCGAACAAAGAGAGAGAGAGAAAAATTTTCTCCGTTCGCAGAGAGAAACGCGAAGGAAAAAATTTGGATAAAAATTGAATCGATATTCATAATTACTTAACAAATATTTTTTTCTTTTAATATAATTTAACCATAATTATTAAATTATAAACTAAACTAATTATTTCCTCGCGTTACTCGACCTTCCCAACTTACCCCTTACATTTCCCTTCCCCGAACCGTTTCCTCGAATTCCTCCTGCGGAATTCCAGGACACGTCCGCCCCGTGGCGGACCTATTCCACTTACCATCCGGGAGAGAATCAATTCCGGTGCCGATTGTCTCGAGAGCAAAGCGTCAATGTCGGCCGGACGCGAGTTGACCATCGAGCAAAAGAGGCGAGAAAAGAGGCGACAGTTACGATAATCTGCGCGACAGACGCACGACAGTCGTGGCTGTGCC